AGACATGGTGGCGTGCCAAGTCTCGTACGCGTTGAGAGTACTTCTGCTTAAGAGGCGAAAAGCAGACAACGTCAAGTGGCTGAAGTATGTGCGATGAATGAGCAGGCATACAGAGGGTAAGGATCTTTCGTACGAGGCAGTAATCCTTAAATTCTTGGTTAAGGTGGCTCTCATGGCCGTCAAGGATGAGTAGCCTGTATAACCCCACCTGACGCGTCTTTGTATGCTCGTCAAAGTGCTTTAACCACGCGAGACCAAGCTCATTGTTCGTCCAGCCGTTCTCTGATACTGAAAGCTTCCAGTCGTACGGTATATCCGCTTCTTCGTACCATGCAGAGATGTGGACGCGTCCCTTGTAGATAATGAATGGCGGGGTAGCGTATCCCGCAGCGCAGATGCTCTGGATGACTGTAACCCACTCGCGATTGCCTGGCTGCGTGAGAGTAGGCCTCGTACGACGCTCTGCGCCTGTGACTACCTTCATTGAGCCAATTACGCCCATCTGAAAGCCAGTTTTATCAAAGTTATGGATGTCGTCTGAATGAACTCCATACTTCTCAACCGTCTCTCGTACGAGCTTGAACCACGCGTTAATAATCTCTAGATCCTCTTGTTAAGTTCTCTAACGATCCTTTGCTCGACTAAAGGCTGTTCTAAGCTCGTCTGTACGAGTAACGAACCGCTCTGCCTAGCATTTGCCTAAAGGCTCGCCATCTCGTTCGCGTAGTAGTTTCTCCGCCATATCTGCTACTTCACATAGACGGGGGGCAAATCCTCGCGAGTCTAGGTTAAGAATATATCGTACGATAGTTTGCTCTTTAGACTTAGTTAGCTTCTAGCAATTTGGCTGTGTTGTAGGTCGAAAGGTGATTCCTCAAAGCCGCCAAGAGATCTGCTGATGATGGACGTTATAGGCTGCTGCAGCGCGTCGAATGCTCTTAAACTAGCCTGTACGATAGGCCTGAACAGCTAGAGTAAGCCTACCTTCTTGCTAAGTTAATATCGCGTTCTGTTGTTGGGGCATTATCTTTCGTACGTGAAGTTCGTGATGCCAAGAAAAAGTGGCACACTCGGTGATGTGGCCCGCTCGGTGATGGAATACGTTAAGTATTATTGCTAATTGCATTATAAGCTAAGCGCTTTTCGTGAGCTAGCGTATTGCAACGCTTATTAGGCTCTCTAGCTGCTAGCGCAGTCGCTCTTAGAGATAGCGTAGCTGCTGCTAAACCTCTGCTACTGTATGTAGTGTCTCTGTCTACGCTACCATCTACGCTGTAACGTTGTTATCTATAGTAGTCTATAGTAGAGACAGCATCCAGACGACAGTTAGCGACAATAGGACGCGATCTAGATAAGGAGGGACAAGGCCTGTCGCCCAAAAGCCTGCCTAGATGTTCTGCTGCGTGAATACAGTTAGTTAGATCCGTGTATAGGCTGTAAGAAAGTCTATCTTGTTAACATAGTAGACGCCATGGCGGGCGAGCTCTTCAACCTCGCGTCCGTACGCGCGCTTAAGAGGGGAGTAGCAGCTCACGTCTAGAGGCTGCAGGAGGTGCGACGTATGAGGCGGCATACAAAGAGTGATGATCTTATTCTCTGTGCAGTACTGGTCGAACTCTAGCGTAGCGTGGCTACTGTGGCCGTCTAGAATAAGAAGACGATAGACTCTAGCCGTACGAGCGGCTGTATGCTAGTTGAAGTGCTTTACCCACTCTACACCTAGCTTGTCTGTCGTCTAGCTGTTGTCTAAAACGCTAATAGTCTAGTCTAATAGGAGGTTACGATACTAAATATCCTAGTAGACCTTACTAGACAGGATTACAAAGGGTAGAAGACACTAGCTAGATGCATTAATACACTTAATAGCTGTTATCTACTCGTAATTGCCTAGCTGTACGATAACTGCGCCACTAACTCTATTAGAGCTAGTAACTACCTTAGACGTGCTAGCGACGCCTATCGCGAAGCTAGTCTTATCAAAGTTATAGATATCTTGATCTAGGACACTATACGCCTAGCGCGTCTCCTCTACTAGCTTAAACCAGGCTGCTATTACAACAGAATCCTTACAGGAGGCACGCTAGCTATATAATCTCCTAGTCCACTTTATCTAAAGCTTTAGCTGGCTCTAGATAAAGCGCGACACCCATTTCTTGCCTATAGGTTGTAGAGGTGGATCTTGGCCACGCGCTGCGAGTAACGCGTCTGCCATCCGTCGCACGTCGATGATATAAGGCGGAAAGCCTCGTCGATCTAGCTCTAGAATCCACTAAACAAGAGACTACTCCTTAATAGGTAATAGCTTACGCCTAGTAGACGGAACCTCTAATTGTGGCTAGATACCGCAGAGGCGTGTCTAGAGCGTTAATTTTAGCACGTCGTACGCTTTCGCGAGAGAGTAGATAGATTGTTTTAGATTATTATAATAGGACGCTATAGCAAGACTTATTCTACCTTCACGAGAAGTCTGTATAGAGCGTTGTTGTCGCGGTATGGTAGTGGTTGTGGAGAGTGTCGCGTCGAGTTTGGTGGGGCGGCCAGCTTATTGTTCCGGCCAGCTTACTGATCCCGCACGTTATATGATATTACGTAACGTGTTTTACAAGCGAGCGCCGCGTACAAGCGAGCGCCGCACCCCACCAAACCTGCGCACCTCTATAAGCCTGTAGTTCCACCACAATATAGTTGCTTTACTGTATATTAATATAATAGATTAAGCAGTACCTAGAGTATCTTTCTTGCACGTACGCGAGTTGTGGCCAGTTTCTCTACACCTACTGCAGCGCGCCAAAGCCTGGCGGCTGACACCTGATCGCTCTCCTCCCTGACGCTCTTCATGAGCAATCTGCTAACCAGCCTCACGCTAAGCAAGTAGATCCTCTCTAGCTCCCTTTGTTAGCACTCCATGCTTCTATATCCACTTCCTTTTACGCTACCTACGCTTTGTTGCTACCTCATTAGCCCTCTCAAGGCTGGCGATCTGATCACGCATTAGCTTAGCTAAGAGCATTATTCTCTCTGCCCCCTTCTTAAGCTGGCTAATCGCCACAATAATTGACGCTAGTG